GGGACACCGCCGGCATGACCGATGCACAGATGGAGTCCTTCATTTGGGACCTGGCCAAGCTCGGGTTTTGCTGGCAGTTCATCACCTTGGCTGGCTTCCACTGCGATGCTTTGAGCATCGATCTCTTCGCCAAGGAGTATTCCAAGCGAGGTGCGGCCGCGTATGTGCAGATGATCCAGCGCAAGGAGCGTGAGCACAAGGTGGAGACCCTCACCCACCAGAAGTGGAGTGGCTCTGAGATTGTGGATGAGATGGGCAACATCGTCAGCGGCGGACTTTCCTCGACCGGCATCATGTCTGCGGGGGTCACGGAGAAGCAGTTCTGAGCGAGGAGTTTTCAGACATTCAACCTTTAGAATATTTCATGTCGCGTCGCACGATGTGAAGCTGTGACAACTGCGAGGCTGTTTAGGCCAGTCAGCAGCAAATAGCCTGTTGATGGCAGTGGTCGTCTGGCAATGAAGAAGGTCAGCCGCCCTACCTCCCCCTGAACTTCCGCACACACACACGCACGCACACATCCCGTTCCACACACGCATCCCGAAGAATCTGAGGGAGTTGGTGCGACCTTGCCCCAGTTTTCGATACGGCCAGACGTCATTTCTTCACTCAATCTCTTTTGTGTTGCGCTTTTGAACGGCCTCAGACACAGGCATCACATGAGTCTCCGAAACACAGCATGGACAAAGCCTTCGTGGAAAATGTGCTTTCAGCTGCAGCATGGCTTGGCATGTTTCTGGCTGAGTGCTTGCTTCATTTATAGCGGTTGTTGCCCATTGAAGCTATGCAGGGGGCAGATCTTCACAACACGGGTACTTAACCAGAAGCTATCAAGCCTGATCCGCTGGAGTTCTGTTGAAGTCTGAACCTGAAATCTTCTGATGGCCAAGATTCAAGAGACGGCCGCATGAAGCCCTGATCCAAGGCCGGGCTTGGCGAGATGCGGCCGCCGCCGGTGCCGGTGAAGCGAGCCGGGTCTTCCCATCGGGCAGTTGGGGCTCGAGTTGAGGGTATAAGGCGTATCATGAAGAGGGTTTAGGGGGTTGAGGGTTGCAGAGTTCAGGGTTCAGGGTTTATGAACTCGCAATGTGCGTCTTGGGGTTGAGGGCTCGTGGCACCGAGTTCAATGCTTAGAGTTTCGAGGTCAACAAGACAAGACAGGGATGACCCAGGCATCATGCATTGACAATGCCAGCCTTGGAACACTTGACATCTTCATGGGATGCAGGTTCGGGCTGTAGGATTGTTCAGGGTTGCCACCGCTTGGGTTCTGGGTTTCCGCTGTGGGGCTTCTACAGCCTCATCGCATTCGTGGCTTGTGAGGTTTCGGCTTCAGGCCATTGTCGGTGTAGAGTTCGGGTATTATTCCAGGGGTAGAGAAGATCTTGGACCTGGTCCATTGGGCACAGCCAAGGAAAAGCGCCAGCACCGAAAGATGAACCGGCACCCAAGCGCCTACAGCGACTCGGAGAACTCAGACACTACAGGTTCAGGGCTCACGTGTGGGTCCTTCCAATCCCTCAGCGACCGGTTTTGGGTCTTGGAATTGCCGCCTTAGACCTGCAAGCACGTAGCGACACTTTGACTTGTGAGGTGACTTACCGGCGTTTTGGGGGCATGTTTGTGTCAGGAAGGCCTCTGTTTCGATGAGACAGAAGTGTGGTGCACACTTCCGAATGTGTGGGAGAGGGGCTGGAGCGCACCGAGGTTGGGCGACGACCTCCCGGACGAGGTCTCCCGGGAGGACATCCAGCACATGCTCCTGGGACGGTGGAGCCGAGCTTCGGTAGGCTTTGCGGCTTTCTTGTCGCTCAATGGGCCTCGGTCTCTGGGTCATGATTCTGGGGGCGAGGGGTTGATGGTTCTTAGCAGCAGGCCCCACAGCAGGGCCCAATACTTGCTCTGTACGAGCTCCGGTCTTCTCTCACGATGGCCGAGGCTTGACAAGGCAGATGAGCTTCATGCCCGGGGGCCGAGTGACAGTGAGGGAAAGCTATTGAGGGAGAGACAGAAGCCCCGAAGAAATCATCGCCGCGAGCAAGAGAGAGGAGGAGAGGCAGTGAGTGCCTGTCGCTTGTGCGAGTTGGGATTAGTTGGGATTTGTGGACGCGCTTGCATTTTTGCGAGAGGGAGCGATGCTAAGGCCCCTCAGCCTGTACCCGAAGCCCCGACCTAGCCTGGAACAGTCTCAGGGCCCCGGGTTCGTTCCACTGCAGTTTCCCGCCGGTTTGGAAAAACATCATCTCCGAATCAATCCAGGTAGAAACCCTGAACGAGACCGCGCTGAAACGGATGCATTTGCAGCTTGGACACATTCTGGCCTTCGATGTGGTAGCAGCTAGCAGGCCAAGTGCCTCTTCCACCGGAGAAATGGTTCGAAGGTCTTTCGCAAATTCTCCCCTAGGTTCCTGAGCAGTACCCTTTTGCCCTTTTTGTTTGGGGGCCTCCTTATTAAAGCCGAAGATTAGGAAAAAGGCTACCCTTATCATTAAGGGGTTACTGTGGGAACCTAGTCGCTGGACTCCTGAGCCCAGGCAGTTCGAGCGCAAGGTCAAGGTCAATCGGGAGCTGAGGATTAAGCTTCTCGGCTGGAAGGAGACACGGAATGCCTGGGTCCCACCAAGGAAGAGGGGGGATTCGCAAAACTTCTACGCCCGGCACCCCCTTTTGGAGGCATGCGGATGATCCGGACAAGTTCCTGAAGAGCGAGGCTGGCTGAGAGTTTTGAAGCTTTCAAGCAAAGGCTCTCTTCAGCCAGCAGCTGTCTCAGGTGGACCTTGATGAAGAGATCAAGAAGTTTACCCTTGTCGTGCTTGTGGCGGCAATGTTCTGCCAGGGCTTCGGGTTCAAGGGCAGCTCGTTTACTGTGTACGCAGTCTAGAGCTTACGATTTAGGCCCTGCGGTATTCCTGGCAGCCCCATTGCAAAAGCCAGAACTTATACACCCGCATGATCCCAAAGCCTGCCCGCGCCATCCCTAAAGTCCCGACAGCTGCAAGTCTTGAGGGAGGCCCAAAGTCCGTACGCCACGGTATGGAGCTCCAGGCGACGAACCCGGAGCTCTACCCTGCACTGATTAAGCTGGAGACGCTTCCGCTCATGGCACCTTGCTCAGGCATTTGGTAGGCCCAGCTACTGTTTTGGAGCATGTTCGCTTCTGCCCAAAGCGGATGCCCCCCAAAGCTCTCCCCTAGAGTCCCTAGAGCCTCCTTGCCGTTCTGTGAGTCTGAGGTAGGCATGTTGAACCATGTGAATACCGACATTGCCGTCGACGTCTTCGAGGCACCTTGGCCGTAGGTGAGAGCACAAGGTGCTCAACAGCTCAACCCGAAGCCTGGGAAGAGGCCTTTCGCCAGAACATGGCTTGACCTCTTGAGAAGTGGAGCTTAAAATGAGAATGCTACAGGAGCCCACTTCTGGAGTCAATCTTGATCTTAGGCATAGCCGGAAGCCAGGATTACCTGCTGAAACGCAAGAATCCGGAAGGTGCTCAGTGAGCTCACCGATCCGGACGCCATCGCCGACGTGGAGGAGCCGGAGGTGTTTCTGAAGGCGGGCTTCGGGATCTCGTGCCACTGCGGCCTGCATGATGCCATGCCTCGGCTATCCCCATTGTGACTTCTGCCCAAATCATGATGGCACCGAGAGCGTTTCTGTCCATGTCTCTATATGTCATGTCATCGATCACCAACTTCTTGTGTCTTGGCCTCCAGTTATTTGCCCATGCGGGTGCCAGGTTCCAGGAGTCTAGCAGGTTGTAGGTGGGAGGACTCGGATTCGGTCTTTGGGCTTAGGGCTTTGGCATTTAGGCTTTTGGTGCACCACAGGAACCGTCGCAGAAGAAGACGAAAAGACAAGACACCGATGAGTGCCAATAAGTGCATAGATTTTCAGCACGACATAGGTATCTACGACTCTACTCATGTTTGCACCTCTGCCAGTTCTACCTGTCAGAACTGTCAAAAAAAGCACTGCCACGAACGATGAGAGCGAAGGCCCTCTTCGAAGCGCAGCTCTGTCAGATGACCGTGGACGTTCTCATGCGCATTGACGAGACCGCCAGCGACGAGGAACAAGTCGAGGGCTCCAGGGAATACGGTGTTTGCTGTGCTTTCGCTAATTCTTGAAGTTCGACGGGGTGCGGAGGGATCTTTTGTCAGAGTGCTTGGAATCAGCATGTGTCAGTCGCAACAATAGTTCTGAGAGACCTTGAGGACTTCAAGGCCGTGACCAACGGCCTCAGCATGATTGAGAACCTAGCGGATGCTTGGAAGCAACGTCAGAAGTGGTCATGTTTGAGAGCATGTCATGTTGGGTTCCATCGGGTGGGTCATGCTCGAGTGGGGAAGTGTTTGTAGCCAGGGAATAAGGCGGAATCATTGGTGCTGAAACTAGCGCTGGTAAGGGAACTGCCTTCAAAATTGTTGCTGCCCCGCCGAAGAGCCAAGGACTCGATGCCGCAGGAGACGTGCAAGCAGTTCCTGGAGATCCCGATGCTTGGCGAAGACGTAGAAGCTGCAAGAGTCTCGCGTTGGTGCCAGTGGAAAGCACATTCGCCCCGAGACGGGAATAGGTAAAAGGGTCATGTCAATCACGCAGTCACCGAAAGGAGAGTAGATTTTGTTTGGCTTCATCATCTGGATTCTTGCCGTGCAGATGACGACTGCCACTGTCTCCATGGCACTTTGACATGTAATCATCATGCAGGTCAGAATGTCCGTGGTAGCGCTGATGCTACGGGCGGTTCAAGAGCTCAGGAACTTCTTGCCATGGCTCATCAAGCGCGTGCGGGCCCAGGGCGCCATGGACTACAACAAGGCTCGAGGACGATCTGCGGTGCACGGGTTGAGGGCTTCAGAAGTTTGATGGACCCGGCTGCTCAGTGCCTGCGAGCGCATGGAGAAAGCCTAGGGCTTAAAGTGTCGAACCCACTACGCAGCATCCCCACCCCCCACTCGCCAGTTGTCAGAGGTTTTGGGGGTGGGTGGATGTCTGAAAAGAAAATCTCCTTGCTGGATGCCCGGGCTCTGCAGCATCGAAGACCTGAACTAATGTGAAACTCTAAATCCTAAGCCCTAACTATTATTAAACCATGTCGGGAGTCCAAATCACATACATGTTTCAATGGATCCCTGATCGGTCTCTGCAGCTCTGAAGCTCGGAAGGTCTACGCCTCGGAGATCTTGGGCATCGTTCTGCAGAATTCGGAGCCTGCGAGGGACTCGCCACCTGGGCGGCTAAAGAACAAAGAGCTTCAGATAGTTTTGGGGTTTGAGGCTTGGGCTTTTTGGACCCGGGCTTGAGTTTTGGGGTACGGGGGTTTAAGGGTGTTGGGGTGTTCCATGTTGACTTGAACAGGCGCACCTATTGAGTGCAGCCTCTTCCCCTACGGCATTATAGGTGCGAGGAGAAAGAAACTGCGACAGTTTTCGCAGACAGTGAGAACATTGAGTCCGCTGCTCGAAGATCGGTGCTTCTTGAGTCCAGTGGTTGTTCCATAAGGGGGGCCCCTTGTATGTTACTCGGCTTAAGGGGGAACGCACCTTCCGCCGGACCAGTCGAGAACCATGCCCACAAAGGAGGCATAAGAAGGGCAGTTTCCGCAGCCATGCGCAAGCTGCAGCTGAGGATGGTGAAGCTCGAGGGGGTCGACAAGCTGCTGCGTGGCATCGCTGCGTACCGGAAGCGCGATCCGGCGGACAGCGAGGAGGGGAAGGGCACAGTGGAACGGCTACCGTTGAAGCCAGCTGAGGTTTGATTATTTCGAGCTTGCTTTAGGTACTTTAGGTTGCCTCGGCCAGCCCTACCTCCCCCCTGTGCTACTAAGCCATGTTCTACAGGAGTCGGAGTATGTGCAGAACATGTTCGACTGCCTCTGCTCTCTGATGCTGCTGAAAGCCAACCAGTTGGCCTTCGGACGTCTCCAGGGGCCCCTGGTCAGGGAAGGGTGAAAGTCCGGAACGATCGGTGAGGTTTGTTCGGGGGCTGGGTCGGGCTCGGGGTGAGTGGATTCGTAACAGGACCTTCTTAAGTCTCGAAGTCGCAGCAGCGTTCGACAGCCGAGGTTGGAGCTGATGATCCGCATGATGAAGGAGCACTTTTTGTCAAGGTGAAGGGCTCTGGGGACCTAGGGATGCAGGCCGCATCACTCGGGAACCACACCCTTCAGCCAAACTCCGCGGGCTAAACAGGATCACCTCCCCATCTTCCGCCCGAACCTCACCTGGCTCGCCCGAGCCTCGATTCCAAACCGCCTCTTCCTAAGTCCGAAGCCCCCGAATCCCGAGGTGGAGGTCCCTAAAATCGGAACCCGAAAACCCCAAGATGGATCCGAACCCCAAAGACCCCATAAGATTCCCTCAAACCTTCAAAATCCATGAGGGCCCGAAGCTTTGGCTTTGGCTCCCACGACTCAAAGACAATAAATGGAAACTCTGAGCCCGACCAAAAGACCCTTAAAGTAGCCCCAAACACCCCCTATATCGTCCGAAAAACCTCCCGCAACCCAAAGGATCCGAAAAGTCTCGACTCAGAAAGCCCCTGAAGCCTTGCCAGGAGCGCGTTTTCGCCTCCAACCTGGCGCTGAAGCTGGCTGACCATGCGAGGGACTGAGACCCCTCCTGGATTTGTGTTTAGAAGTTTAGGGCCGTTTAGGGTTCATGGTTTGGGGATCAGGAGCTCCCCCGGGCGACAAGGGAAGCCCGCTGCAAAATGGTTTGGGGATCTCTGAGGGCTCTGTGTCACTTGACATTCCTCCGAAACACATATTTCATTAAACCCCATTCCCTGAACTAGTTCGACTTGTTCAGCAGGCCGGGTGGGAAGAACTAGTAAACGATTTGAGCATGTCGCGCTCTTCCTTCTGTGCAGCCCCTCCAGGGACTGGAGTTGGCGGCCGGCCACACATCAGAAACCCTCAACTTCAGACCTTCGAACGCCATGCCAGCATATGCCAGCCTTGAGCGAGTGTGTGAGTCGAAACCCTCTACGGGTCCTTGGGTGTTTCGGCTGCCGAGGCGCTGAGGCATTGCCCCGAGAACTGCCAGGTCTTTGTGGAGAAGCTCGGCCTGAAGGCTCGAGAGGGTTCCGTGAGGGTTTAGGGTTTAGGGTTAAGGGAGTTTTAGGTTTCTTGGGGTTTAAGTTTAGGGTTAAGGGGGGTCTTAGGTTTCTAGGTTTCTGGGGTTTAGGGTGTAGGGTTACGGGGGGTTTTGGGTTTCTAGGGTTTAGGGTTAAGGGGGTTTTAGGTTTCAGGACGTCTATAGGGGATCCAGAACCCGTATGGGGGTCTGAGGGCTTTCGGGGCCATTATTGGGGGTAGCCATAAGATTGAGGTTGATTTCAAACCTTCTAGTAGGTTCTGATCCGTTTGGATAAAGGTAGGGCTGTTTAGGGTTGAGCCTTTCAACTCAGGGTTTTGGGGGGTTTCATGTCGGGGCCTTTTGTTCAGGATGTTTTACGGTGTCTTGGCTTTGAAACAGGTTCCTGACTCTGTGGGGCGCCACATAATCATGCTTCAAGTACAAGCTGGCCTTTTCCGGGCTAGGGTCATGAGCAAATTGGAGCAATTGAAACTACAGGTTCCAGCCAGCTCAGCAAACGCCGATGCAGACCAGTAGGCAGACGTGAGCACAACCACTGAGACAGCAGCTTGCCAGTTGACGAGCGACGGCTGAAGGGAGTAGGTGCTTCTGGTGGAAGTGTATGCATCCACACGAACGATGGTATACAGGAGCACAAACAAGCCTTAGAAGACAAAGGGTGTGTGCGCAGGCATTGCCGAATATGTGTATGCACACAAGACTACAGACAGGCAAACCTCCAGATGCTGCCTGCAAAGCACACCCGTACATCCCTTCAAGATGCTAGAGACTTTCTCCCGCCCTCTCTCTCTCTCTCT